TCCCCATTGTTAGGCCACTTGTCCCTATAGCACTGCTGTAGCTTTGCTCTTAAAACTGTATGACTATGCAGTGAACTGGATTTTCAACTAATCCATGTAAAAATACTTCCAGATAAAAAAGACGGGGATCATGAAGAGGGGACTATTTCAAACTGCATTTTGTCCCAAATTCAGTTCATTGCATGGTTCCACAAACAGACCAACATTTCTTGGAAGTTCACTTTCCATGCAGAAGGGCTGACCAGATGATCTCTGGGAGTCTCCTCCAGTTCTGCATTTGAATGATTGCATAAATCTGAAGCAACAACCAGCCAAATAGGTACATTGCCCAGAGCTTGTTGATTTCCTGGGAATGAAATGAACCAAACTATATGAGGTTTTCAAGTTCAGGATTAGCTCCTGAAGATGGGGAATGGCAACAGGACAACACAGAACACAGGGAAATACTACTAAGATAAATGGAAGCAAATTGTTTGTCTGAAGGAGCATTGGAAAGGTATTTCCACAGTTTGCCAGAAGTTGCTCAAGACTTTCTGTTAGCAAACAGTTGGAAAAGAGTGACTAACAGTGGCAGAACTGGCATTAGAGCACAGAGGAACATGTAATGTTGGATGTATGATGTATGTCCATGTATGACAGAAATGGCAAATGGACACCGGAAAGAAAGCTCCAAGGACACTAGCTAGGCATTATCTTGACAAGATCCTTGATCTTCTCACCTGATTGTTCTTTCAGTGGCACCAGTATTCCTTTACCTACCACACAGGAGTTCCTCTAAGTTTACATTATTTCAGGTTAGTTTTCTCTGATATCCTTTAAATACTCAAAAATTATATTGAAGTTGATTTTCTGTGTTAACCATATCCCCAGGGCACTCATTAAGGATTGTGTGAGTGTTGTGGTTTAACCTCAGTCAACAACTGAGCACCACACAGCCCCCCGCTCCCCCCCCCCCCCCCCCAGCCCCTGGTGGGATGGGGGAGAGAATTGGAAGAGTAGAAGTGAGAAAACTCGTGGGTTGAGATAAAAACAGTTTAATAATTGAAATAAAATAATAATAATAATAATAATAATAATAATAATAATAATAATAATATACAAAGCAAGTGATGCACAATGCAATTGCATACCACCTGCCGACCAATGCCCAGCCAGTCCCCGAGCAGCGGCCCCCCTGGCCAGCTTGCCCCCAGTTTATGTACTGAGCATGACGTCCCATGGTATGGAATGTCCCTTTGTTCAGTTGGGGTCAGCTGTCCTGGCTGTGCCCCCTCCCAGCTTCTTGTGCACCTCCAGCCTTCTCAGTCGGTAGAGCATGGGAAGCTGAAAAGTCCTTAGCTAGCGTAAGCACTACCTGGCAACAACTAAAACATCGGTGTGTTATCAACATTGTTCTCACCCTAAATCCAAAACACAGCACTGTACCAGCTACTAGGAAGGAAATTAACTCTATCCCTGCCGAAACCAGGAGAGTGAGGAATTCTGATGTAAGAGGAGAGGCTGAGAGAGCTGAGGTTGTTCATCCTGGAAAAAAGAAGGCTCCAGCGGGATCTTACCAATGTATATAAATACCTGATGGGATGGAGTAAACAAAGAGCCAGACTCTTCTTGCTGGTACCCAATGACAGGACAGGAGGCAATGGGCACAAATTGAAACACAGGAAATTCTATTTAAACATAAGAAAAACCTTTTTTACTGTGAGGGTGGTCAAACACTGGAACAGTTTGCTCAGAGGGTTTGTGGAGTCACCTTGGAGATACTAAAAAATTGCCTGGACAAGGCCCTGGTTGTGGGTCACGGGGACAACCATCTTACCAGGAACCCTCAGCAGCAGCGCTGGAAAGTGCATCATAGCAGCTGCACCCTACACCCCTACGTCAAAAGACCCAGGTGACCTTTGTCCGGCCAAACTTCTGCAGTATGCTGCAGCCAAAGCACACTTGTTTTGATGGTTCTGCAGATTGCGTTACATCTGGCTGCCTTGTCTGCTCAGCCTGAGTCGCACAGCTGTCCTTTAAAACTGGGAACTTCAGCATTGCCGAAGAACATGGCTGATACATGTCCCTGGAGCCACAACAAAATACGTGATACCATTTGTCATTATCCCTCTTTGAGCAGATGTAGTATTCACAAGTAATTACTAAGACAGACGTGGGGAAGGAAAATACACAAGAGCAAACTCAAAGGTGGCTAGAAGATTTCTGAATTTTCTTTGTGCAATTAAGATTTTAATTAAAAAGATGTGGAAGAAAGGTATCTATTCTTTAAGAGTGGGATCTGCCCACTGAAATGTTTGATAGATTCTTGCCCAGCAAAAGGTTTTCTGCAATTCCCCTGGAGTAGGTTTTTCATACTGTGCTACTTAGATTTTTTTTTTTTTTTAATAGAGGTTTTTCTCCTTTGTGTACAAATCTGCTTGCCAGTTGTTTTAAAAAACGACAAAGATTAAAAATGGTGACTGGGACAAAATG